AATACAGATAACAATGTTAAGAATATCATGCATTAAGCTTCAGAATGCCACGTACAACAGCACATCACAGATGTAGCAAAATGAGCCCCCAAGTGTCAAAAATTATGCATGAAGAGAAAGGAACAGTCTAGATCACTTGAAAGAAGCAAGAATTATCCACCTCATTCATTCATCACCGACTCACTTGTTACAATTTCTTCTGGAAATTTGCTGGGTTGGCAAAGAAGTCACAAGAACCTCCTCAATCAAACCCTCAACACTATAAAATCAAACCCAATTACCAGCACAGAAAAAAGAAAAAGTAAAACACTGCAAATTTGTCATTCTGTTCTGTGTACGTGTAATATTCATGGCTGAAGAAGCTGCCATGGCAGACACTGAGACCTTTGCTTTCCAGGCAGAAATCAACCAGCTTTTGAGTTTGATCATCAACACCTTTTACAGCAACAAAGCTCATCAGCAATGCCTCTGATGCATCGGACAAGATTCGGTTCGAGAGCTTGACTGACAAGAGCAAGCTCGATTCTCAGCCCGAGCTTGTTATTAGGATTGTCCCTGACAAGTCCAACAGGACCCCCTCCATCATTGACACTGGTGTTGGCATGACCAAATCAGGTGCATACAACATTAGCATTACTTGCATTTTAAGTTATTTGATTTTTATTTATTTTTTTAAATACAAACAATATTGGAGGAAGGGGAATCGAACTTAGGACCTCAGGTGCAGGGACATTACTTGCAGTACTGTTAGTTGAATTGTTTAAATTATTCAGAGGTTTGGATTTGAAATAATTGCTGGGTTTTTTTTTATCCTTTTTGTTGGGTGTAATTTGTGTTAGATTTGGTGAACAACTTGGGGACAATTGCAAGGTCTGGGACAAAGGAGTTTATGGAGGCATTGCAGGCAGGGGATGATGTGAGCATGATTGGGCAGTTTGGCGTGGGTTTCTACTCTGCTTATTTGGTGGCAGAGACGGTGATTGTGACCACAAAGCACAATGATGATGAGCAGTGTGTGTGGGAGTCTCAGGCTGGTGGTTCTTTCTGTTGAAAGTTGGCTCAAATGTAGAAGAATTTTGGAGTTGCCCATGTGAGTCAAAGTTAGTTGCCCATGTGAGTAAATGTTGGCTTACTATGAGGTCAAAAAGGGTGGATTGTTTGGTAGTCATCCATTGGTAAGTTTGGTAGCCAACAAATGAATAGTTGAAGCTTGCATTCACACTCTTGCATTTTTGGCTATAAATTGGAAGCAAATGGTTCCATTTGAAGCATCCCACCAAGTGTTGAGTAGAAGAGAAAAATAGCAAGAAAGGCATCTTGCCAAAGAGAGAAACATTTCTCTCTAATTGTTCTTTGCTTTGTATCATTGTTTTCTCTTCAATTGTTGTGAGAGTGAGACTTGGGTGTATTTGGGGCTTTGGGTTTTCTTGAGTGATAAACACTTTGTATACTCTCTTTGATTATAGTGAATTACTCCGTCGTCTCCAAACTGGATGTAGGCATTGCCGAACCAGTATAAATCTTGGTGTTCTTGTTGGTGTTGTTTTGTGTTCCATTTATCTCCTGCCAGTTGTTGTTTATTTTTCACTCGCAATTGGTTGACGCTTCCGCACAACACTTTCACCATCAGAAAGGATGTTGATGGAGAACCACTTGGTAGAGGGACCAAGGTCACTCTCTTCCTCAAGGAAGACCAGTTGGAATTCTTGGAAGAGAGGAAGCTCAAGGAGCTAGTGAAGAAGCACTCTGAGTTCATAAGCTACCCTATTTATTTACTGGTTGAGAAGATTGTTGAGAAAGAGATCAGTGATGAAGAGCATGAAGATGGTGGGGAGGCTAAGAAGAAAGAAGAGGAGGGGGAGGTTGAGGAGGTGGATGAGGAGAAGGACAAAGAAGGGAAGCCCAAGAAGAAGAAGGTTAAGGAGGTGAGAAATGAGTGGGAGCTCATCAACAAGCAGAAGCCAATTTGGCTGAGGAAGCCTGAGGAGGTTTCAAAAGAGGAGTCTGCTTCTTTCTACAAGAGCCTCACCAATGATTGGGAGGACCCTCTTGCTTGGAAGCACTTCTCTGTTGAAGGCCAGCTTGAATTCACAGCCGTTCTCTTTGTTCCTAAAAGAGCCCCCTTTGACCTCTTTGACACAAGGAAGAAGATGAGCAACATCAAGCTCTATGTGAGGAGGGTGTTTATCATGGACAACTGTGAGGAGCTCATGCCCGAGTACCTTGCGTTTGTGAAGGGTGTTGTGGATTCGGATGATCTGCCGCTTAACATTTCTCGGGAAATGCTGCAGCAGAACAAGATTCTCAAGGTTATTAGGAAGAATCTGGTGAAGAAGTGCATTGAATTGTTCAATGAGATTGTAGAGAATAAAGAGGACTATCTCAAGTTTTATGAGGCTTTCTCTAAGAACCTCAAGTTGGGTATCCATGAGGACAGCCAGAACAGGGGTAAGTTGGCTGATTTGCTCAGGTACCACTCCACAAAGAGTGGTGATGAGATGACCAGCTTGAAGGACTATGTCACAAGGATGAAGGAGGGCCAAAAAGAAATTTACTACATAACTGGTGAGAGCAAGAAGGCGGTCGAGAACTCACCCTTCTTGGAGAGGCTCAAGAGGAAAGGGTATTAAGTGATCTTTATGGTTGATGCCATTGATGAGTATGTTGTTGGGCAACTGAAGGAGTATGATGGGAAGAAGCTTGTCTCTGCAACCAAGGAAGGGCTCAAGCTCGAGGACGAATCAGAGGAAGAGAAGAGGAAGAAGGAGGAGAAGAAGCAGTCATTTGAGAACCTGTGCAAGACAATGAAGGACATTCTTGGGGATAGAGTAGAGAAGGTGGTAGTGTCTGATAGAATTGTGAATTCACCTTGCTGCTTGGTGACTGTAGAATACGGGTGGACAGCCAACATGGAGAGGATCATGAAAGCTCAGGCATTGAGGGACAACAGCATGAGTAGTTACATGGCCAGCAAGAAGATAATGGAGATCAACCCTGACAATGGCATAGTGGAGGAGCTGAGGAAGAGGGCTGATGTCAATAAGAACGACAAGTTGGTGAAGGATCTCGTGCTGCTACCATCTCTCTTCGTCATCTCTGTCTGTACACAAGAGAAAAACACGAATCAAAAAGGGTTTAGGGAATTGGTAAAAGAGAAGAATCAGAAAATAAAGAAACCAGAAACAGAGAATAATGAAACCCAAAAAAGAGAAGAGAAAAACAGTTCCAATTCGTAGAAGTTCCAAATAGAGAAAAGCTGAAAAATAATGAAACCAGAAACAGAGAGAAGAAAGAAGGAAAGAAAGAGGAAGAAAAGAAAAGAAGAAAATGAGATCAGAAAGAAGAGAGAGAGAGAAGAGAGAAAGAATAAACAATAAAGAAAAGAGAAAAGAAGATACAAACGTTTCACTCTCCCACTTTACATACAGACAAGTTAATGAAATGATGAATTGACCAAAAAAATAAATATTATAATTTTATTTATTTATTTATTTATAGGTTAAAATTTTTAATTAAATTTAAATATTAAATATTTATTTTTTAGTCCGACAGAGCACCAAACATAGTTCTTCACTATTTTTACAATCCAGCTTCTTAGTCCGACGCAGCACCAAACGTAGGTCAGTACTTAATCCAGCTTAAGCCAATCCGAGCTAATTCAAGATAGTCCCAGGATTTAGTCATGTCCATAACAGTCCGCCGTACCAAACGAGCCCAAAGAGGACTATCTAAAGTTTTATTAGGAAGAATCTGGTGAAGAAGTGCATTGAATTGTTCAATGAGATTGTAGAGAATAAAGAGGACTATCTCAAGTTTTATGAGGCTTTCTCTAAGAACCTCAAGTTGGGTATCCATGAGGACAGCCAGGACAGGGGTAAGTTGGCTGATTTGCTCAGGTACCACTCCACAAAGAGTGGTGATGAGATGACCAGCTTGAAGGACTATGTCACAAGGATGAAGGAGGGCCAAAAAGAAATTTACTACATAACTGGTGAGAGCAAGAAGGCGGTCGAGAACTCACCCTTCTTGGAGAGGCTCAAGAGGAAAGGGTATTAAGTGATCTTTATGGTTGATGCCATTGATGAGTATGTTGTTGGGCAACTGAAGGAGTATGATGGGAAGAAGCTTGTCTCTGCAACCAAGGAAGGGCTCAAGCTCGAGGACGAATCAGAGGAAGAGAAGAGGAAGAAGGAGGAGAAGAAGCAGTCATTTGAGAACCTGTGCAAGACAATGAAGGACATTCTTGGGGATAGAGTAGAGAAGGTGGTAGTGTCTGATAGAATTGTGAATTCACCTTGCTGCTTGGTGACTGTAGAATACGGGTGGACAGCCAACATGGAGAGGATCATGAAAGCTCAGGCATTGAGGGACAACAGCATGAGTAGTTACATGGCCAGCAAGAAGATAATGGAGATCAACCCTGACAATGGCATAGTGGAGGAGCTGAGGAAGAGGGCTGATGTCAATAAGAACGACAAGTTGGTGAAGGATCTCGTGCTGCTGCTCTATGAAACTGCTCTCTTGACTTCTGGCTTTAGCCTTGATGATCCCAACACATTTGCGGGGAGGATTCACAGGATGCTGAAACTGGGTCTGAGCATTGATGATGATGATCCAGGACTGGATGACGATGTCGACGTTCCACCATTGGAGGAGAATCAGATGGAAGAGAGCCAGATGGAGGAAGTCGACTAAAAAACGGTGCCTTTGTGACACTAGCAACTTCTGCAGGCAGTTCGCTTCAGTCAACAAGTATAGATAGAAAAGTAGACTGGGTTTCTTTTCATGTCGTGTAGAGTGTATATCAACTTTTGGTATTTCGGTTCTTGGTTTTGAGTATGGTTTTAAAATTGTGGATGTTTGACGATAACTCCCTATCCTGTACGTATTCTAATAAAGACTCTCTTCATGTACAAATCTCAATATTTTTTTGGCAACTCAACACTCGAATACATCAAACCAACAGAATTTCGTTTTGAAATACCAGGACAGAAACTATGACAAGCTACTGAACGGTACCCATCTCTGTCACCGAATCTGCGTTCTCCTCCATCAAAGCGAGGTGGGCTACTGTTCACATCATCAAAACATCCACATTACATTCCAACCAATCAAAGGGTTCAACAAACGAACTAGAAAAGGAAGCACAAATTTGTCAAAGTTTACTTACACAGATCAGTTAAATAACTTCTTCCTAAATCTCTAGAACTTTAAAGTAAACCCGAATAAAAATCCAAGCTTTCTAACAAACTTTTCAATCATTCCGTCAAACAAACCACATTTTAGTCAATTACAGTATTGAATACAATCTAATTTCAAACCGTCTTGCAGAAACCCAAAAACAAAATGATTGTAGGAGCAGTTTTTACCAAATTAACGACTTCCTGTACAAATTACATGTGCATAACATCTTATCAGCTAAACCAAATAACAAAAACCAACAATTTGAATAGCCATTTACAATTAGAACAAAGAACACAGAAATCCTTTAAATGAGAACACAGTTACAAGTCGCTACCATATGTTATTCAAATAATCAAACCCAATTCGCAAAACACTCAAAGAAACAATCCCAGTAACATAAATCAATAGATCCAATAACCAATAAAGAAGATGAAACAAATCAATTACCGTGGGCGGTCACCAGATGGGCCCAAGGGGCGACCAGGAGGCTTGGCCTGCTTCTTCAGAGTTGCAGGGACAATCTCAGATGGGAGATTGAGGTAGTTCCTCAAAAACTCAATACCATCATTGGTCAGGTACCAGTAGTAGTGCATCCAAGCGAAAGTTCCTATCACATACTCCTTGGACTTGAAGCTCTACATCATTGGTCTGGGTGCTTTGCCAAGTTATAGTCCTTCTTTGCATAGCAAACTCCCTCTGTTCAAATTAAATTCAAGAAATTTTAACAAAACATGGAGGGTTTGGGCCCAAGAATTGTAGGCTGGGGTGAAAATGGGTCAAAACCTCAAGTTTGGGATGAGCCAAAAATAATTTTCAAGTCCAATATTTCCAATTAGGAAGGCTGAGCTAGTGTAGCTCACGAATAGGCTTGGGCCAACAAAAGCCCATCGGGTCCCTGCAAGACTTGTTTCATTTTCTTCTTCTTTTTTCAGTCGCAAAATCTTTCAATTATGAGACAATTGTGTCTCTAATAATGAGCTGTGCTCTTGGTATAACCGTTAAATACATTGAGTTTAGTCTCAAAACAAAAACATTTACATTTGCATACAATGATTACTTGCCTTGTGTGTTACGAACTCCCATAGAATACATGTGTTATAATTTAGGATTAACTACAGTAAACCTCCCAAACTATGGGGTTATTACAAACTCATATCCAATGTTTATTGACCAGTACACAAACTTCACGAAATCTTTCAAAATACACCCTCAGTTAGGTAAATCGTTAAAAATTTTGTTAACTTTTGATGTGGCGAAATAAGGTTCCTGTTTTAAGCTGATGTGGCATCCACATAGACTGAAAAATTAATAAAATATTCCTTTATTTTATAAATTAATTAAAAAATATTTAAATCAAATGTATAAAAAATAAAATTAGAAAAAAGTATCTCCAAAAAGAAAAAAAAAAAAACAGCCAAACTTAATTTCACCCTAATTGTAGCCTCCCCAAGCCAAGGCCAGAAAATTTAAAACAAAAACTTTAAAATTAAATATATCTTAAAGAACAAAATAACAACAATAAACGTTGGGTATGAGTTTGTAATGACCCCCATAATTTGAGGGGTTTACTGTAGTTAACCTGCAGAGATGATGGATGATGAAGAAGAGGCGGGTTAGGGTGATATATGGTTTTCTAATAATTAATTATTATTTTTTAATCCTAATGATACCATTAAATATGTTAGCAATACATAGTTTGAACAAAGAAGCATTGTTGTGCATTGGTAAATGGTTGAGTAAGTGAGATGGAGGGCAGGGTTTCAAAATCTCTCGACTCCAATTTTAACATATTTAACCTAATCACCATTATATGTAATTAGAGGGATTAAGGAAACATCAATTGTGCGTCATATCAGTGAAGCACACAGCATGATCTCCAGTTAGTGGCCGACCAATAGTACAATTCCCATGTAAATCAAGCCTAATGGATACTTTTATTTTTCCTCTCAATGGTATGCAACTTTTAATTCCGAAAAAAGTCATATCATCAGATGTACATGGGTCCATGCATTTCAAAGTAGTTTTTTTCTACTTTTTTCAAACCTCAAATCATTTTTACTTTCTTACCCCATGAAGCTTGATTACATATGTAGTAGGCCATGCATTTACAAATTATTTATACGCACTCATGCTCATAGAAGAAATAGATGGTAACTTATCACCACTTGACAAAATGACAGCACAAGATTAAGAACTTTTCTTCCTCTTGTCAAATCAAAGATGAGCTCATTCATATTGTAATACGTGTTTTATTTATTAATATTATGTATTAAAATATAAACTTTAACAATATTACAATCAAACAAAGAACTTTTGATTAAAAATGAGTCAACATTATACTCAGTAAGGTGTGCATGTATAGCCAACACTTTAGGTACATGAAGTCGTATTTTTTGTTTTTGTCAAAATTAGGAATGGGATGAAGTCGTTGAAGAGAATAAATATGGTTGTTGTAGGTGAGAATTTTCCACCAAAACACATAAATTATATGCAACTAGTTATTATTTTGTGGTACTTTTCTGCCGAATATTGAAAGATGTGTCAAACTCGAAACCCTATCCCTTGTTTGGTTTTTGTCCGAAAACTCGGAAACTCTACTACTTAAACCATGGCCCAAAATGGGGCAGGGAGAGCTAGCTAGACATGAAAGGGGAAACAAGATTGCAGGAAATGAAAGGAGGTGGTACAAAAGAACAGGTGAGCCAGCCAGGATAAGGTTTTTCCCTTTAACGAAACAATAATTTCCAAAGTTATCATTTGAAAGTTTGACGAAAGAAACGTACTTCATCATGAGTTTCATTACTGTGAAATGTCTTATATAATGGTTGGTTCGTGCATGTTCTCTGGCACTAAGAATTTAGAGAAGAGAGAGAAGCGATTAATCAAAATCAAATTGCTCAATCAAGCATTATTGGACCACTTGTAATCTCTAATTTCAAATCATAATTATCGATAAAATATCTTAAGCATGAGATTCAACACTAATGAAAGCATGCATTGCCATTTATAAGAAAGATTCAACCTACATGATGAAACATCATCCTATTTTAGTAAAGTGTTGTAAAATTTTCAAGGCTTTAATTGTTAAGATGTCTCTCTCCATTGACAAGGAATATTGTTTTTGGTTAGTATTTTTCTCTTCGTTTTCTAAGAATACCATGGGCTACGAATGTAAACAGGCACTAATACTAAGTTAAATGGAAAAGCAAAACCATTAACACCACAAGAAAAAAGGATCAAATGAAGACCATAGTTCAAACTTTGCTGCTTGTCGCATTGCATTGCCTTATTCATTCTCTTCTGTTGCCAAACCCAAATTAAATAAACATATTAATTGCATGCATTTGCTTATGTTACCTATAGAGCTCACTTTAAATTCACAATCCATCAATCTCACCCCAAAAGTAATATAAAAAAAACAAACTCTGTACTCAAAAGCCTGGACCATTTCGAAAAGCTCTTCCTAGAGAGAGAGAGAGAGAGAGAGAGAGAGATGCATGGTAAGGTTAGGGGGGGACAGCAGTGTACTTTGTTGTTGTTCACACACCGCCATTAATATCTTATAGAGATGAAGGAAAGGAAGACAGTAGGGTATTAGCTCCTGCATTTGATGAAGCGGCAGGCTGTGCAATATTATGGTGTTCTTCTTCTCCAACAAGAACTGTGTCCCAAAATAGATAGTTAGAACACTGTTGCTGGGACACAACCCATTCATTGAGCTCCTGCCTTTGCATCAAGCACTCCAAGGCCATCTGATGATCTCCCTCCTCATCAAGATTAATGTTACAAGATTGATGATGAACTTGATGATCAATATTGGGCAGCATGTTGTTGTCCATGTTCTCGATCAACGGCGGCAAATAGTTGGTGTCCATGGTAGCGCTGGTAGCACTTGTTGTACTGAATGACATTGCCGGAGGCGGGAAGGCCTGGACTTGATGCTGGCTCAGATTCCATGGCTCAGATGAGCTCAAACCCGCCCCGGAGACCATGTCCTGGAAAAGCTCTGCACGTGCACTGTAATTCTCTGGAGCTGCTTCCATATTGGGACTCGTATCAAACATGAAGAGAGGGCATGTTGAGGAGAATAGGGTTTCTTGATGAGATTGGGGCTTTGGGGTTGGCAAATCTTGATTTGCAAAATCTAGTTGGTTTGAGTTGATAATATAATTACCCATCTGGGGAATCATATGCTGAAGATGATCAGCACTAGAAGAAGGACTTATTGTGGTGCTTGAAGTTGTGGAAGGCTTTCTAATCTTCTTTTTGATCCATGAATTCCAATAGTTCTTGATCTCATTGTCTGTTCTTCCCGGTAGGTGGCTTGCTATATGAGCCCATCTACAAAATCAATACAGTCATGCATATATAATTAGTAAAAAGAGTAATTAAATTAAGAGTGCAAATTAAATTAATTAATTAAGTTATAATTAAGATTAAAATTATGTTTTGTTTGTGTTGTGTTCTGATTTCAGCTGATGAAATCTTCAATGCATGCCAACCTCCGAAGTTGACTTCTTAACGTCTGTCAGTAAGAAAATGTAGGTGACATGTGGTTTTGTACTGTATCAGTGATGAAGATTGTTTCTGGAGAGCTACATATTTAAAACATAAAACCAGACATATATATGTGTGTGTGTGTGTCTGATCGCGAAAACTTGTTTTGAAAGTTTGTTTGTATTCAGTTAGAGGTCTATTTCACTTAAGTTGTTTCCAAACATCCGGTACCAATTAATTTATTGTTGACAAGAATAAACGTGACCATTATATAAGATTTTAATTAGTGAAAGCATTATGAATCCAAGCTTCAAAAGCACTTCTTCCAAAAGCATACTACAACAACAACAAGACAACCTTCAAACTTACACGTTCTAAGAGGAAAATAGACCTCCCAAAACCCAATTAACCATGTTTGAACATGGCAATGACTTTAAAGCTTCAAAACAACTTCTTTTCAAGAGAAAAACAACAAAAAGGATAAGAAAATTTACGCGCATTCTAAAAGAAAAATTAGGCTTTTGCAAAACCCAATTAAGCATGTTTGAACGCGATGGCAATGCGTTAAAATTTGGAGGCTTAAGATATATGCCATCAAGAACTGGTTTGGATTAATTGGATGGAAAGACTTCAAGGTTTAGGAAAAATAGTAGAAGGTAATTAACTAATTAATAATACAGGTGTTTAAGTTAACCTGTTGCCTACAACACCATGGAGGCTAATAATCAATTTCTCTTCTTCTGGAGTAAACCTCCCTCTTCTAATATCAGGCCTCAAATAATTAATCCATCTCAAGCGGCAGCTCTTTCCACACCTTTGAAGCCCTGAAACACAAAACAATTAAGCACCCTCTTAATATTATTAGGAACAAGCTGATTAATTAGGTCATAAGTAGTAATTAACTCACACAAGGGGAGAGGGAGAGAGAGAGAGAGAGAGAGAGAGAGAGAGAGAGAAGGGTGATGACCAGCTTTCTCAGGGACTTCACTCCAGCAGCCATAGCCATGGGTGGTGATGTATCTGATGAGCTTCTCATCTTCCTCAGGGGACCAAAGGCCTCTCTTAACCTTCTGCTGGTTGCAACAAGAATGGTGGCCCATTTTTTGCTCCTAATTCTCAATTTCTTGTTAACCTTTCAACTTGATCAATTCTGATATATCAGAATTGATATGAAACTAGCAAGCTATAGCTAGTG